TAAAACAAATGCAAAGCAAAGGACCCCGCAATATTTAAATGGAAATTGGTTACCCGTGATATTTGGATGAAATTTAAATATATTATTGAGGATGCGGTAAGCAACATTTTTCACCATAGGCACAACCCTGTATATATGACAGGTGAGGCGTGGTTAGCTGTCAAATATTGGAATCTTATATCCAAAAGCAGAGTAACTATGGCTGATTTTGATGAACAAAAAATCTATTTCTACTAAGTCGACCAAGTTAAGTCGAAAAATGTCAACCATTTTGACACCTGTCAAAACCCTGCTAAACGGCAGCACTCATCTTTTCCAGTTTTCAATATTTTATGATGTCATCTGACATTTTTAACTTGTATGTAAATTCTGAATTCAAAAATTGACAAAAAAAATATGACAAAACTGTCAAAACCTGTCATTTGTTTTAGTAGAAAAAAATACTCTTATCTGGTTCTTTCTCGTTTAAAGGTAGTTTATTGGTGATAAAACATTGAAAAAAGTTCACGCACATCACATTTTGACAGCTGTCAGAATCTGTCAATAGCTTTAATTCAAAAAAGAATCAAATCTAGTTCTTCTCCAATTCGTCAAAAATGTCAAAATTATATCATTGTTGATTTCATCTGTGAGTGTCAAAATGTTTGAGTATTTTAATGATTTAATTATAGTACTGAGTATTATAATGATTTCATTAAAGTACTCAAAAAAAATCGCAGGCACCTATATAAAATCCTTTATCTAAAACTACGTACTTTAAAATGAAAATTGACATCTCTGTCAAATCTGAAACCTGCGTATAATGTTTTTTCATGCGTTATCATAAATAATCCCAACTTAATTTGGAAAAGAACTAGATTTGATTCTTTTTTGAATTAAACATATTGACAGATTCTGACAGCTGTCAAAATGTGACGTGCATGAACTTTGTTCAATGTTTTATCACCAATAAACTACCTTAAAACGAGAAAGAGCCAGATTAGAGTATTTATTTCTACTAAAACAAATGACAGGTTTCGAAAGTTCTGTCATTTTTTTTTCAATTTTTGAATTCAGAATTTACATACAAGTTAAAAATGTCAGATGACATCATAAAATATTGAAAACTGGAAAAGATGAGTGCTGCCGTTTGGCAAGGTTTTGACAGGTGTCAAAATGGTTGACATTTTTCGACTTAACTTGGTCGACTTAGTAGAAATAGATTTTTTGTTCATCAAAATCTGCCATAGTTACTCTGCTTTGGATATAAGATTCCAATATTTGACAGCTAATCCCGCCTCACCTGTCATATATACAGGGTTGTGCCCATGGTAAAAAATGTTGCTTACGGCATCTCCAATAACATATTTAAATTTCATCCAAATATCACGGGTAACCAATTTCCATTAATATTGCGGGGTCCTTTTTCGAAATTATCGTCATATACAGGGTGTCCACTTAGTGCGATATCGGACGATATCTCCTTACAGGATGATGCAAGAAAACAAAAATAAATTACAAAGTTGTTTGATACTCTAATAGGCATTAGTTGAAAATATTTTTGAATACAGGGCGAGTTACTGAGCGCGCGGTGGTCCATATCTCCTATACTAACGGAGATCGAAAAAAAAACTGAATACAAAACTTGTAGATAAATATGAGTACTACATTTCTAAATTATTTTCCAGTATACAGGGTGGTCCAATAAGTAGTGGTTACACAAAGCTATGTTTTTTCAAATGGCTCTCCCTGTATATCATGACATTTATGGATTCTGCGGAAATTCTAGACATATTTCATCTACAATGTCAACTGTTTCCGAAATATTGACAGTTGAAAACTGACTTTTTTGCATCTTTGACAGACTGTAAAACCTGAACGGTTAATTTTACAGCAAAACCGATCATCTTAGTTTTTCATAATTTATAATTTGACACCAACTTTGAATTTAATCCATGATTAAAAAAAGTTGGTGTTAGCTTATGAAAATCTAAGATAGGAATGTAAAATCAGTTTTCCACTAAAATTAACCGTTTAGGTTTAACAGCCTGTCAAAGTTGCAAAAAGTCAATTTTCAACTGTCAATATTTCGTACATGTACATGAAATATGTCTAGAATTTTCCATAAAATCTAGAAATGTCATAATATACAGGGGGAGTCATTTAAAAAAAACAAACATAACTTTGTATCACCACTAGTTGTTGGGCCACCCTGTATACTGGAAAATAATTTAGGAATGTAGTACTCATGTTTATCTACAAGTTTTGTATTTAGTTTTTTCTCCGATCTCTGTTAGTATAAGAGATATGGACCACCGCGCGCTTACTAACTCACCCTGTATACAGGGTGCTCTGTTTATGGGTTATGCAACAGAATTTTATTATTTTAAATGGAACACCCTGTATGTGACTGGATATTTGGATTCCACGTGAAATTCTGAGCAGATTTCATTTAATAAACCCTTTACCTAAGTTCAACTGTTTTGGAAATATTGACAATTGAAAATTGACTTTTTGCAACTTTGACAGGCTGTAAAACCTAAACGGTTAACTTTAGACGAAAATTGATTTCACATTCCTGTCTTAGATTCTCATAAACTATCATTTGACATCAACTTTGAATTTAACCGGTGGTTGGTGTCAAATGATAGTTTATAAAAATCTAAGATGGGAATGTAAAATCGGTTTTCGTCTAAAGTTAACTGTTTAGGTTTTACAGCCTGTCAAAGTTGCAAAAAGTCAATTGTCAACTGTCAATCTATGAGGATTTCTAGGAATGCTTTTCTTGTCGTAGTCAAACTCTCGGTCGAACTTGACACGTTAATAAAATGTCCATTTTTGACAGTGTTTTTTTAAGTTTTTGTGTACAACAATTTTTGATGATACCTCAAATTCCTTAAATAAGCTGCCCTTCAACGTAAAAGCAAGTCTGGTCTGGTTTTGAGGTTAGAATTTATGAAAAATTACTAGCGATGCAACGTTGCCAGACTTTGGTAAACTAAGAGAGCAAGGGAACGGGGTTTGAGCACTTTGAGATGAATGTATGTGCCTATGAAAGTGTATCCGAGAGTGTATCACTGTATTTTGAGCATAAGCTAAATCTTTAATTACACAATAGATGTAGGTATCACTGGCGAAGAATTGAACGAGGATTTGAAAATGTCTCTTCATTTTATGAACACACTCTGTGATAATTACTAAAGCAAAGTATTTTTTTGGCTTACATAATATAAAGTATATAATCATGGCTTCCGGTATTCTGTCTGGAGCAGTTATAAAATGATACCCAAGTACTTCACCTTTTTATGTTGGACAAAGTTGGGCAACACTGAACATTTTTTCTAGGTTCAAAGTGATAACAATTCCACGCAAACCCTTGAAATTCCTTGAAATTTCTCGCAATTCCTAGAAAATCCTCGCAATTCCTCGAAATTCCTAGCAATTCCTCAAACTTCCTTGCAATTCCTTGAATTTCCTCGCAATTCTTTGCGCGTGTACACTAAAATTCCTAGGTGATTTCCCCCTCGGTTATCAAGATTTCACAATAATGCTCAAAATCGAGAATCGCCCTCTAGCGGCTAAACGGTTGAAAATATCAAAATGCGGTTTGCACCAATCAAAATTTCATGAAATTTGAGCCACAGAGTGGGGGGTTCATTTTTTTTGTGTCTCGCTCAGAAATTGACGTTTCCTATTAAAAGTGTCCAAATTGTCCCACCCTGTACAGTATTGGTTAAATTTTTAGAATTCATGGTCAGACACAAAAATTGAATGTCAGAATGTGAAATGTTGCATGCTTTCAGTTTTTTTTTAATGGGATGCCCTATATTTGGTTCTATATTCTTGAAGAGCACAATTTCCCGTTTCCAAAACTATATAGTTTGTCTAAATTTGGTTGAGCCGTCTTCAACATATTTGGTTCTAAAAATTTTAAAAATACTATCAGAGAATCCAAGTACCACAAATTTTACCTGCAGCTTTCACCTGTATAAATAGAATGGTTCACAAAATCAGTAGTAGGATAGTATTTTTACAATTTTTGAAGCCAAATATATGAGAGACTGTTCAATCAAATATAGACAAACTATATATTTTTGGAATCGGGGCATTGTGCTCTTCAAGAATATAGAATGAAATATAGGTTATCCTATTTGAAAAAAGCTGGAAGCATGCAAAATTTCATATTTCTGACATTCAAATTTTGTTTCTGACCATGGTTTCTGAAAATTCAGCCAAAACTGTATAAGTTTTGTATTTACACCTTTCTTCTACTATACCTGTAAAAGTAAAGGCTGTATAGGTGGAAGTCAATATATAAACAAACACCCTGTACCTACCTACCTATTTAAAATCACCTTCTTCCCCTAAATACTAAATAGTTCCCCCATTCCCATATTTTTATGGGCCATTCCTTCGAAAAACCGTATTTTGCACAATGCACTGCCAAAACTAACCCAATCTGGCTTACTATACCTTAAACTGTCCTCCCCTTTCAAAAGGCCTGTATCCGCCTCTGATCACCCCAAATTGCTTAACACGATTTTATTTCTGGAGCTATAAGTCCAAATGAGCTAAAATTTTCAGGGATTGTAGTCCTCTACTGGGATAAGAATCGATCAAAAATTTCAGCTTTCTATTTTTAATCGAAAAAAGTTATGTCCTTTCAAAGTTTTCCAATCTTAAGGTAGAAAGTCAAAATTTTCCGTAAATTTTAACACTGTATTTTCTTAACGGGACGTTTGCGGACACATGTTCCTATGTAAAAAGTGATTGTACTACTGTTTTTTTTTTATCATAACAAAATGTGCACTTATTTCGGACTCTTTGCCACTATCAGTTATAGGTTTTCTCACCTATAATAGGTGAAAAATAAATATAAAAAAAAATTATTATGATCGTAGACCCTCTTTTCAAAAATTTTTCTCTTAAAGAACAATATTTCTTTACATTAAAACTAAGTCAATGTCTTCATTTTCTAGGCTGTTTTCAAGAGGGGGGTATAAAACAAAACTAAATTCAAATTATTTTCAACAATATTTTAATTATTTAATATCGTCTACTTACCTACAGTACCATTCTATACGAAAAGAAAAACTGCCAGTCAACATTTTTGTTTATTTTTTTTGTAACAGTAATAATTAATTATAAGAAATATTTTCAAATGAATTATAATGATTATATCTCATTTTCAAAAAATTTACACGATCAATCTAAAAACTAATATTTACACTATACAGGTTGATAAGAACTACTATCATTTTTTTGATTTAAGACTAACATTTATAGGAACCAAATATTTACAAAACATAATATTGCCCTTATGAAATACTCATTTCAAATAACTTTTAATAAATCATTATCAAAGACAATAACTACCTACAAAGCTCAAAACACGTTTTGTTATTTATAATACCAAATCTCATATTATTATAAGCACTAAAATTATGACTAGATTTTGAGGTAAAAAAATTATGTACAAAAAGTCGATTTGTGGAAATCTTATGTTCTTGTGTGAAAACAAATAATTTCAGGATGTAAGAAAAATAAAATAAATTGGAAGCGTCATTTTAATCAATTAAATGAAATTTTACATTTTATCAATCATCAATAACTTTTATCAATACTTTATAATTATAAAATTGTTTTAGATGATAAGAGTATTTGCTCAAACACAATCAGAAAAAAGGTCTTGGTAACAGGACGACCTTTAATTAATTTAATAAGGTCGTCTTTATCTTGATTTTTTTTTTTTAATGAAAATAGAACATTTTCTTATAAAAAAACAAAGTTTTTCATTAGATCACAAAAAATTAGATTGATAGTTGTTGCATTTCTTGCATTGCCCCATTTTGAAAATCGTTTGTACTAAAACTAATAAACGTTGGCTTTTACTAAAAAATTAATTTACCAGTGCCACCTGGGCTGACTATATAAAACAGGATGGTGGGGGCCATGGTGGCCACTCATAAGAGGTCCCAAATGGCCTGGAGGAATTTGAAGATTTTCTTGGGATTTAGGAGGTCCACCCAAACAAGGCTTACCATCGCGCACCAATACAGGAACAGCCACCCGTCTTGGCGAGGGTAAAGGATTATTATTTTGTTGATCGTGCATACCTTTTTCGTGTTGGGCACGTTTGGTTTTATATCTGAAACAATTCAAATACTATTTATCTGATGGAAAATAAGTGGACATTTTAATTTGTGGGCTCATTCAACTAAATCCTTTAATTGAATTTATCTATATTTTCACTTCCGATTATTTACGAGTATATTGGCTTAGAGACATTCCTACTCTTAACTTGAAAATCTTCCTCTTGAATTACTCTTAAAATATATGCAAAGGTTTTTTGATTTTGATAACTAGGTACTTATATACCAAAATTTAAGTCAAAATTTACAGGGAGATTTTTCCATAATACTTAGGTATCTCAAGAAAGTTGGATTTGCGAGCCAAAAAACACAGTTTCTCAACTGTCCTGCCTAGTATTTACATAGGTAGGTACTTTTTTTAAAAAATAATTCGTAGTAGACTAATAGACAGAGATAAAATCATATCATCAGATGTTTTCTTGTATATATCAAAGCTCAAAGTACACGAAAAATCACTTCACTAGATCGTGATATAAAATGTAATTGAAATTAAAATTCAAAATTTGAGAGTGTAAGTAGATATATTTTTAAAGGTCCAAGAAACATTATAGTCATCCATAAGTAAGATTGAAATCTATCTAAATCTTTATTATAGCATTTTGACGTATCAGGATAAAAGTCAAAACAAATAAATAATTTCGCCCAACTTAAAACTAATCCCTTTCTGATTTGATTGATAGTCTAATTACAAGCGGATGCTCTTAACAAAACTGATCCAGATAAGTTATTTATATAAGTTGACTTCTGTTATAAGCTCTTACCTATGATTCTGGAACCAAATTTTAACTTGTGTAGGCGTTAGTCGTATTATAGATGCCAAATGTTCCCTTTCGGGAGCCGACAAATATTTCTGCTGTCTAAACCGTCTTTCCAACTCATACGTTTGCGCTTTAGAAAACAGCACTCTTCTCTTTCTCTTTTTATGTCCAGGCGTGTGTTGTTCTCTATCGTCATCTTTTCCGCCATCGTCGTCATGATCACCTTCAGCGTCTTCCGTGTCACTCAAACCTCCATGGCTCGGAGGTGCCGAGTTATTGTCGCTTTGATGTAATATCGTAAGAGGCTGAGTACCGATTGGGGTGGAAGGATTTGTAATGCTGTGTGGTTCTACGCTGGATCTGTCTGACATTGGAGGACTGGTACTATCAGGTGAGACTTGAGGAGGTTGTTGTAAGGGAGGTAGTAAATGATGCTGTTGCTGATGCATCGGGTGCATTGGAGGTAAACCTGAAAAAAAAAAGGCAAAAAATTGTCAACAATTTGTCGTAGAAAAACCATTAATTACATTTTAAAAATGGCTTGATGCCAAAAGCATAATGGTGGCGAAAATCGCATCTGTCCTCAGAGACAATCTCAGCAGCTGCTTCTCGCTGTCACGCCTTTATTCAGTTAACTACCCTAGGTGACATTATTTTGCGGCCAACCCTCTTGTTTACACCCCTAATATAGAGACGCTTATGAAAGTGAGTATTGACGTTCGGATCATGAAAAATATATAACAGTTCTGTCTGGTTGTTGCTCTCAATTTGACTGGATATTACCTTCCAATAATTATTGTTTAATTAATTGAAGACCGTTAGCTACTTTATGTTTAAAAAGGTCGTATAATTTGAAAGTGAACTTGCATATCCGTATCTTATTTTACTAAGCCTCCATCTCTTTTTGTACCCGCACCCTCCTAATAAGTTTTTGAACATTGTGTAATTATCCCTGCTACCATCGAACTATTACACCCTGTAACAATAGGTATCGGTGCCATCCAGAATAAGTGATGTTTCGTTGAGGGGTGAGACGACAAGAAACTAACTTGTTGGAGTTGTTGTGTTGTTAGGTTACTCTTTACTTCTGCCAGTCAATATTTATGTACTTTTAGGAATTCCACAAAAATCAAATTTGTGTCGACAAGGACGAGGATTTTCTTGGTACTAATACGATGAAAACAGGCACTCAGAAAAATTAAAAAATTGATAAATCACCCCAATTTGTTTAACCCGATTTTATCTCAGGAACTATAAGTGCAAATGAGCTGAAATTTTCAGGGATTGTAGTCCTTTGAAAATGATGACATTCAGTGAAAGATTCAGCTTTCTATCTTCTTCTTCTCACTAAAACGATGTAATATCAATTTTTTTTTTATCGAGATTTTGTATACTAATGCTCAATCAACATCCCCCAAACTCCATACACTAAATTATTCTCAGATTTGAAGCCGAAATCTATGAAAAAAGGCACTCAGAAAAATTGAAAATTTGATAAATCACCCCAAATTGCTTAACACGATTTTTTCTCAGGAACTATAAGTGCAAATGAGCTGAAATTTCCAGGGATTGTAGTTCTTTGAAAATGATGACATTCAGTGAAAAATTCAGCTTTCTATCTATAATAGAAAAAAAGTTACGCTTTCAAAGTTTTCCAAAATCTAAATCATAAGGTAGGTACCTTCTTACTAAAACGATGAAATATCAATTTTATTTTTGTCGCGATTTTGTATACTACTGGTCAATCAACATCCCCCAAACTCCATACACTAAATTTTTCTCAGATTTGAAGCCGAAATCTATGAAAAAAGGCACTCAGAAAAATTGAAAATTTGATAAATCACCCCAAATTGCTTAACACGATTTTTTCTCAGGAACTATAAGTGCAAATGAGCTGAAATTTTCAGGGATTGTAGTCCTTTGAAAATGATGACATTCAGTGAAAGATTCAGCTTTCTATCTATAATAGAAAAAAAGTTACGATCTTTCAAAGTTTTCCAAAATCTAAATCATAAGGTAGGTACCTTCTTACTAAAACGATGAAATATCAATTTTTTTTTTGTCGAGATTTTGTATACTAATGGTCAATCAACATCCCCCAAACTCCATACACTAAATTTTTCTCAGATTTGAAGCCGAAATCTATGAAAAAAGGCACTCAGAAAAATTGAAAATTTGATAAATCACCCCAAATTGCTTAACACGATTTTTTCTCAGGAACTATAAGTGCAAATGAGCTGAAATTTTCAGGGATTGTAGTTCTTTGAAAATGATGACATTCAGTGAAAGATTCAGCTTTCTATCTATAATAGAAAAAAAGTTACGATCTTTCAAAGTTTTCCAAAATCTAAATCATAAGGTAGGTACCTTCTTACTAAAACGATGAAATATCAATTTTTTTTTTATCGAGATTTTGTATACTAATGCTCAATCAACATCCCCCAAACTCCATACATAGATTCAATTTATAAAGAAAGTTTCTAACCAACAAGTGCGCAAAGGGATACTTTCCCGCACGCAAAAGCAACAACGCGAAATCCTCGCTGTTTTCATTTCAACCCTTGTTGACAAATCAATCACTGATGCACGTGCCCTAAATACGCTGATTATTTTAAAACGTTATCAATTGTTTGTGATGTTAGACGCCATTATTTATTTGCTGTCGCATTTAAAATGTTTGCTTACTAGTCACCTTCCAGTGTTGATTTTTTTATTTTCGAAAATTTGTTGATAAATATACATAGACATACGGAGAAGGAAAAATTAGTCACCCAAATCATAATGTTTAGAAAAAACGTCAAAGGGAAACCTGGCTGAATTAATAAATATTATGGGGAATCTTTAGGTATTATTACAAAAATGTTTTCCAACATGTTTAATCAACTTTTGTCAGATTTGACTCCATGGGTGGCTAATGAGTACCTACGATTGTAACTTTGGGTCATGTAATAAGCAACAAAATTATATTTTGTTTCTTTCCTTTAGTTCATGAAATTCAACTTACCATGATGGTCAGGTGGCCAATGCCTTGGAATATAAGGTAAATCGGTGCTGGTATATAGCGCTTCGGTCATACTAGGATCTAGTTCTGGATGTGGATTGTTTTGTCTGTCCAATTCCAGGATGTCGCTGATGGCAAAACTTGCTGGTTGTCTTTGGTTGCCTAGCGAGGTTGTCATTTTTATGCTGTCCAGCAATCTGGAAATAGGAAATGCATATTATTAAGTATATCAGCAACATTGTTATGGAATTCTTAATTTTTTAAAAATATTTTTAATATTACCTACGACTTGTGTTTGCCTACGTCATTGGCGATAGCATGATTATTCTTAGATAATATATTATCAACTATATTGAATCACTAGAAAACAGTGAGTGGTTAATTTTTGCTTTTTTCTTATGATTGTTGAGTAAATAAAAGGGTTTTTTGATAATTATTTTCATTTATTTTATAACAAAAAAAAATGGCATGGAAAAATAGACTATAATAGGTCTGTTTCTGCAGAAATCACAAATCAATCAGAATGAATTTCATTGGTTAAAACTAGTTTTCTGACTGTTTCTGACTATTTTCAACCAATGAAATTCGCTCTAATTGGTTTGTAATTTCTGCAGAAACAGACCTAATGAAATTCACTCTGACTGGTTTGTGATTTCTGCAGAAACAGACCTTATTATTACCTACGCAAACTTTAGGATTTATTAGGTACAAAATATAAGTTCTGTTTCTGCAGAAATCACAAACCAGTCAAGGCGAATTTCTTTGGTTCAAAATAGTCAGAAAACTAGTTTCAACCAATGAAATTCACTCTGACTGGTTTGTAATTTCTCCAGAAACGGACCTAATACTATCAATAGGTCTGTTTCTGTAGAAATCACAAATTAGTCAGAGTGAATTTCATTGGTTAAAACTAGTATTCTGACTGTTTCTGACTGTTCTAAATCAATAGGTCTGTTTCTGCAGAAATCACAAACCAATCAGAGTGAATTTCATTGGTTGAAACTATTTCTCTGACTGTTTTCAACCAATGAAATTCGCTCTGACTGGTTTGTAATTTCTGCAGAAACAGAACTTATATTTTGTACCTAATAAATGCTAGAGTTTGCGTAGGTAATAATATAAGGTCTGTTTCTGCAGAAATCACAAACCAGACAGAGTGAATTTCATTGGTTGAAACTAGTATTCTGACTGTTCTAAATCAATGAAATTCGCTCTGACTGGTTTGTGATTTCTGCAAAAATAGAACTTATATTTTGTACTTAATAAATGGTAAAGTTTGCGGAGGTAATGGGTCTGTTTCTGCAGAAATCACAAACTAGTCAGAGTGAATTTCATTGGTTGAAACTAGTTCTCTGACTGTTTTCAACCAATGAAATTCGCTTTGACTGGTTTGTGATGTCTGCAGAAATAGACATATATTAACGTGTTTTTAAAAAAACCTAATCAAAAATTGCTATGGTTTTTGAACGTATAATGTCAGCAATATTATTTTTTTAATTTTGTCAATGAACTTCAATGTCAAAATGTCATGTCAGAAATTCTGACCAATAAAGAAACAATAATGCGACGTAAGTTTTCATAATCAAAGCACTCTTTGATATGTTTTTTTTTTGAAGGCCCTATACCTTTCCGTAAACAAGAAGCGTTTTGTAAGCAGTGGCAGCTCGTCAGAGGAGGCAGGGGAGGCTAAACCTCCCCCAAAAAATTGAAAATTCAATCTCAATTTGTTATTCCTGATTTCTAATTAAAATAATAATTAACAAATTACACTTTCCAATTTTCTATATTTCAATGTAATTTACACATTACATTATGTCAATCAATCCCACGCCTCCATGAAAAATATCTGTGAATGTGGGATACACAGTAATACCGGCCCGAAGGCAGTGGCGTAACTACAGGGGGACCTGGGGGGGCCGGGCCCCCCCCAGACGTCGCTAGGCCCCCCCCAGAAAAAACTTTAATAATTTAGTATTTTTTCTACTGACGTTTCATAATACGCTTAAAATCTGTTTCATAATGAACTTCATTATGATACAGATTTTCATTATGATACAGATTTTTCAGCCACTGGAATCGAGTTATTTTGAACATGAACAATGTTTATATAAAAATAATAGACTTGTTTTGGAATTTTGGATTGTTTCTATTAGTATTTACCAGAAGAAATAACAAAAAATTAATAAATCGGGTGCGGAATTTATGCCCAAATGACGTCTAGATCCTAATTTTCGAAATCATCGAAATTGTCAATAGTGGTCAACAATAATTGTCACTAGTTGAGAAGTTTACTATTCTTGAAATAAATATGTATTTCGTTTATTAATGGAAGTAGAAAAAATATAGTGTATGCAACTCTCATGTAATGGCCATTAATACACTCGCATGTTATATACGAAACATCATCCTCGTGGATTAATGGCTATCATTACATGATCATTGCATAATATACTATTATGAAAGCTACGTTACCTATTATAATTTTATGTTATTATCTACTAAATTTGAACGGTAATGCGCGGCGATCCTGATCGACCCTATCCTTGCTGATATATACTTTACAGTGGCTGATAAGCTGCGTTAGCTAGGCAGTGTTGCCAACTCGGTAGAATATCCACTAGTTCTAATGGATTTAAAAGTCGTCTAGTGGAATGGTTTTAGCAGATTCCACTATAGTGGTAATTTCAATGGGAATGGGAATGAGATCCACGGTTTCTAGTGAATTTTTAGCTCGATAATTTTCAGTGATATTTCGCTTCCATTAGTTTGCGATACTTGTTTTTAAAATTTCGAAATCACGTATTTCTATAAGATTCATGTTAATTTACAGAAGGCAGCATATTTTTTAAGGATGATACACATCTACAGGATTGCTTATCGGCATCGTTTTTGGTAATCGCCGCCATATTGGTGTGTCACCAATTCCGACGTCATAATTAAGTCGTCAGCTGTTTAAACAGCCTTCGTCAAGATGAGAAATAACCTGCTGCCTACATCAAAACTGGTGATTTGGCGAGGGAGGGATTTGTTACACAACACACAGACCTTATGAGGATAGGCCAACCTGTAGTAGTAATGTCGTAGTGTGTATCATCCTTGACATATTTTTTTTGTGGGTTTTTCATATTGTAGGTATGTCAATATTGTCATTGATGCTTTCAGTTCAACTGTCAACATTGTCACTTTCAAAATTCAAGTCAAGTAAACCCGGCGTTCATGCTTCTATAAACATACTGCTGTAACATAATCTATAAGGGCCGGTTTCTCAATAGCAGATCACCCCCGGGTTAAGGATAACTCTAGGGTAAACATAGCAACTGGACACGCTCACCCTGGAGTTAAAACTAAACCGGAGGTTACTTGCTATTGAGAAACCGGCCCTATTAAGAAGAAACAAAGAGAAGAAACTAACACATGGTAGATGATACAAAAATTTCAAAAAAGAGTGGGAAAAATTTAGTAGATTTTCCAATGGTTTAAAAAAATTTCGCCTGCGGCGCCATTTTTTTCTCTCCTAGTGGATTTTAGTGGATTTAAATCTTTTTTCTAGTGGACAGTCTTGATTCAGAGTTGGCAACACTGTAGCTAGGTAAGTGATTTAAGCCCGGTTTATTCAGCTAATCGCCTATAATTGCACTGTTCTACTTTTTTAAAGATTCCAATAAGTCGCAATAACAGGCCCTAGGCCACTGGCCCCAACTACAAGGCGGCATTGGGCAGGTGTTCCCATGAGCAACCTCTCATGGGTGCACGGAGCTCTCGTAGGGAATGCGAAAGTACAAACGTATTTAATGATCATTCTGTTCCGTGTGGTAGTATCAGTATCACGTATGTAATAAAAATTTACACAACTTTGTATAAGAATTATACAAGTCGTATTAGTCTTAGATAAGGGAGGTATGGTATTAGTATTCTGTCCTTTCGTTATTTGTGGTCAATTCTATGCTCTATTACTTTATATTGCTAATGTTGCTATTCTCCATCTCTATTCTTGGATAATAATCGGGATATAAGGCATTTTAGGACATAAAAGTACCAGGCATAATTATTTTGATGATGATGTGATATTTTCATGGCCTAAAATGCGTGCAGAAAAAAGCACTTTTCGCACGCTCGTAGAAAAAAAATAGAAAAATATATACACTATAAAATAGAAGATTTAAGGCGTGGCATCCGGAAAAAAAATTTCGCCTCCGCCGGAGCCTACGGCGAGCTTCCCCCTCCCCCCATAAACAAATTTATAAAAATATTATCCTGCACCTATGAGGACTTTCAAAAAACAGGCCCACCCTAGGCCCCCCCCAGGTCAGATGGCTAGTTACGCCAGTGCCCGAAGGGCCGGAGTTATCTGCGAGCCCGAAGGGCCGGAGTAATACGAGCCCGAAAGGCTAGAGTTATACGGGAGACCGAAAGGCCGGAGTTATACGCGAGCCCGAAGGGCCGGAGTTATACGCGAGCCCGAAGGGCCGGAGTTATACGCGAGCCCGAAGGGCCGGAGTTATACGCGAGCCCGAAGGGCCGGAATTATACGCGAGCCCGAAGGGCCGGAGTTATACGCGAGCCCGAAGGCCTAGAGTTATTTTAATCACGCACGGAAAAAACACTCCACTATAGTAAAGAATAGTAGCGTTTGCCCAAGAATATATTCGTTTCACTATTCCAGAAGAAAATATAATATTTAATTCTAGTACCTATTGCCCTATTCTTAGGAATTGAAAATAAGTTCAACTTATATTCAGAATACGGTAGTGTTGAAATCGAGAATAGCCTAGTGATAATTTGAAGAATAAGGTAGATTTGATGATCAAGTATTGTTATTCTTATTCGAAAAATTACTTATAGTTATCACAAAAATTACAATTTATTTCCAAATATTTCTTATTCTTACTTCAAAAATAACCTCCTATTGTTTTAAATACTCACCTGTGTACTTACTATTTATATATTGAAACACAGTTTACTCTGAAGTATATTTTATTCTTCAAATTCTTGTTTTAAAAATTTATATAATATATAAAGGTATAAACTGATGGTATAATAACAAAAAAGTTAATTGTCATAAGTACAATAACAATCATATATATTAACTATTCACATACCACTGGAAGGTTGGGAAAATCCGTTATAGATGTTGCATTTTCTTTACTTTTAACGCCATTTTTGTACTGATTCATTGTCTTTGCCAATTTTAATCTAA